ATTAACATTTCGTGAATTGACGGCGGGCTCTTCTCCCCACTCATTGGGACGTTCCCTCGTATGATGGCTTGTTCTACATCGGGTTGTAGGATTTTATCATTGGAAGACGATTCTCCTGATCCCGCGGATTGCGCGTAAGTGTATCTGCTTACGGGTCCGCCCCTCCGTTTTTGGCCGTTCTTACAATGGTAAATTGAATACAACCAGGTATCGCACTTGATCAAGTCATACTTGGAGGATGATCCACTGTCTAATGGCTGTGCCTTGCAACAATGAGTGGTATCCTTTACATCACATCACATCACACTTCTTCCATATTCTTGCCGCCACTCACTCGAGGTGAGGGCTGGCTAAACTCGCAGGACAAAAGTGTTTTAAAACCTCCAGTGAGTTTGAGGAGTTTCAGCAAGCCTGGTAACAGGTTGTCCTGGCTATTTAAAGCAACAGCAAACTCACCGACAAATGTAAATATAAGCGAGTTATTAACGAAAGAGAAAATCGACAAAAAGAATCGGCCCTTATGAACGCTCACTTTCGAATTTCATATTTTATAAGAAATGCTAACAGAAAACTATATAAAATTTAAAGTAATGAAATTGGGTTGTTAGTGAAATGTTTAAATAAAACAGCAAGAAAGGTTATCTTCCATTTAATTCCACTTTATTAATTTTGGGAGCTGGGTTCGATTCCCGGTCCGGTCTAGGAATGTTTCGGGTTGGAAAATTTCTCGACTTCTCTGGGCATAGAGTATGATTATATTAACCACACAATTATACTAATGCAAAAATTGTACAGGCATCGAAAGCTCTCAATTAATAACTATATAAGTGCATCTAGAACACTAAGATAAGAGCACGCAATAAGCTAATATGCGATAAGTAATAAGCTTGAAATGCAAATGTAATGTTTTTTGCTGATGAAGCATATTTTTGATTGAACAGATGCTGAACTTCCAAAGCTCGTTGGGATGTTAACTTCAAGTAGCTTAAACAAGCTCGAAGGAGGATGACAGCTACTTGTTGACAAAAAATCTCGAGTAAGTGCGAACGAGTGCGAGCAGCTACGAGCTAGCTCGTGCTGTGTCATTGAACATGGCTATTTTGGACAACTTGAAATCAGCAACATTTAATAATGAATAGCTAAAATTGCAATTAAACAGCGCTCATTTAGAATTTCATTACCTGGTACCCCTACACAGATGGTATATGGCGTTACGTACCTGTGTAGGAATACTAGTTGAACACATTCTAACACATCCGTTTCATTGTAATTTTAGCTGTTCAAATTAACGTGGTTCTACAGTAGTTTAATTTTACGAAAAACCCGATAAATCTAATTTTACACGGTCTTATAATAAAACCAGCTTTAAGCTGAAAGACTAAGGAATCGTTGAAATGCATTCAGCGAAGAGCATCCTCTGAAATCAACGTTTTATTGTTGGTTGCCGACAACAGTCACTCCGATTGATGATTTACCCTATGATGTTTACCGTATGAAGAACAATCCCAAAACAGCTCAGCCTCATTTTAATAATTTAAAATTGGCATTTCTTCAATGATTTAGGATTTATTAATAAATGATAAATGGCAGACTACGCAGACAGATGTTGTGTGGTTTGAGGTCCCTAGCATAGATAATAGTCCGTACAACAAGTGGATATTTCATCACAAGTTGGAAATGCTTCACCTTAATAGGAGTAAGCCACAACCAACGACTGTTGATTTGAACCGGCGTAGCCATCTACTATTTACTATTTACTTACGTTCAGCGAGTCCTGTATGGTGTTGAAGTGTGTCTGCTTACAGAGCAACGTTGCCGCCACGATCGGTAGATCGATCTTCATTTTCGCCATGCACTTACTTTCGCGTATCAGCAGCGGTATGGTCGGATGCAAGTTGACGACCAGTCTGTCACCTTGCAGCGCCAAAATTGGCTGCACCAGACAGGCATCCGCCACACTAACATCCTGACTGAGCCAAATCTGTGTCATTTCCTGTTCGTACTCTGCCAGGATGATCTTCGCAGAGCTGTAACGATTTTCGATATCTTTCGTGGTGGGTAACGCGGCTAGTACCGGATGGGTGGTCACCGTGGTGACCAGCTCATTCAGATGGTACTCCAACGAACGACACCACTTGATACGTCCGGCTATTGGTGGGAAATTTCGCGGTAATGGTGGATCATCGCGTTGCTTTCGATAAAGTTTCAATATGCGATCGATTTCCTTCTCGCAGTACTTGGACACGCGTTGGTACTTTTCGTCCATTGTGCTGAGGGGAATCTTTTCGCAAACTTTCTCGAAGCGAACCAAAAACCGGATACCCTGAGGCGTTTCCCAAACGCTGTCGAAGTTGTGCTCAATCATGGATGCGATCGTCTCCTTTAAGGTGTCAGTTTTTTGCATAAACACTTGGAAGTCGTTGTTGAAATCCACATTGCGCTGATCTAGGTAGTCGTACTTTTTCATAATAATTTCTACCCGAGCTTCGTCGAAGGTATTCATTGCATCTTCCAGGGCTTCACCCAACAGTAGCCCTTCCAAACGTCTCTCAAACAGGTGGTTGTAGTCATCGATTAGACTGAACATGGAGATAATCTTCGACAGTCGATCGCAGAACGTGTCAAATTTTCCAAAGACGTAGTTTTCCGAGAAGGCAAACGGGATTTGATCGGGGAGGAACGGTTGGGATTTTACGGCGTGATAGGTTTCCCTATATATGTGGTTAAGCTTCAAACAGTTGGTGAGTTTTGTGCGAACTAGATCCCGATCCTGGGTCCAAATCGTTTCCTTGCCTCGACAGGTGATGTATGACTTGCAGGTTTCGATCATTTGGTTGGTGATTTTTACCATCAGCGTGGACGTACGCTCAGAAGTGTTGTAGAATTGCGACACACTGTAGATCAATCTGACGGTTTGCAGGAGGCTTACGATCGACTCCTTCATGTTGACGGGATCGTCTAAGTAAAGCGAGTGACAACAAGCCTCCATGGCTTGAATAAATTTCGAATTATCGCGGGCCTCATTGTAGCAGAACGTAATTTTCTTGTCGGTCTCTTTCCATTGCTTCAACACTTTTGAGCCGGACTGCGAAAGGCAGTACAACGTCCACTGTACTTCCCGTTCCTGCAGATGGGATAGAAGTTGAGAAAACTGCGCTCCACGGCGCTTCCAATATTCCAGCTCGTCCTGGGGACCGCTGGAATCGTTCTCCCTACGCAGTTGTTCGCTTTCCATCAGGATCTTGGCGATGCCCTTGATCCAGTTGTTGACGCGTTCCTCCAGCTCAGCACAGGTGGATGCACTTTTTGACATTTCTCTAACCTCCGCCAGTGTATCGACACGACAGACAATTGTCTTCCCATCATCAAACACGTTAAAATGATTGCAGACTTGCTCGCAAACGCGCAGGGCACTGCAGAATGAGCGCAACCCGGGCAGCAGTTGGGATTTGATCAGATTACAGCTCATTTCCTCATCTTCGGATTCGATGTTGGGATAGGCTAGAGCTTGCATGAAAACGTGCTCGACGATGCGCTCGATCGAAGTTACCAAACCCACTCGGTGGGCGTCGATATAGCCACAGTACCTAATGTCAGGTGCAAGGGAAGACATGCATGCAAAGAGGGAAAAGCGTTATTGATTTTCAAAGATCACACTAAATAATCCTAAAAAAAATGGTGTACCGTGAATCTTTAAGCTTCGAACAAAATATTCGATATTAATGAGCAATGAAATCTAAAACTACTCTAAATAAATTAAACATGAACTGAAATAAATTAATTATTACTGTTTCTAAATAAAATCAATGTTGAATAGTTTGTTTAGGTATAATTGTTGGTATCAGATTATTGCTCATGCTGTGAATTTTTAGACTACTGCGAAGATCATAGTTGACAGGCTACTATTCCTCAATCATCATCTCACTGAATGATCTGTCAAATCGAATCAATTCACTACAGTATTTTTTTTTTTATTTTATTCCAGTGATTTCATTGAATTTTGTTGGTGAACGCAGCGTACAATGTACTTTACGGATATTTTCACCCAGATCTATCCAAAGCTAAAAAACATTAATTCTATCGGAATTATTTCTGTTTCGGTTGCTACTTATCAGAAACCCGGATTATTCTCTCAAACGTTATAAGAGCACAATCGTCATATGTGTCATATCCAGGAAGGGTTCAGTTGTAAAATACATCCTCGAGAGGCGATATATTCAAATGCGTAGTGAAGACGCCGATCGAATCCGATCATAATTGGAATCAAATGAGATTGTCCAATACGTCCCATACGTCCACATCCTTTCTTGAGTTCACGAAACTATACAAGAATCCTTCTTCGCATGGTTCCATCATCATACTCGAAATCAAAATATTCTTCATGTTGCTACAATCATCTGGTACCGAGGCTTGCAATCTTTTTCGTTTTTTAATTATTTCTTTTGAAACCTACGTGTACCTATTTCTAAACCTTTACGCCAACCACCACATCTAACTTTGTTTGATGTTATAGCCAATTTAGAGAAAATTTAGCATTTGACGAATTAATTATTCGATATGACAGGTATATCTGGATATAACGTGACTGTCACTTTTGACTTCCATCGTGAATACCTCCCTAATAACAATTGAATCGTACAAAATAATATTACCAATAGTTGGGAGATTATCTAATCTGTCCGATGGTGTTATTACTTTGCTTGTTTGAATGATCGTTTCCGAGAAATCAGCAATGGAAGTCAAAATTGACAGTTGTGTTATATCGAGGTATACCTTTAATTGTATTATACAACTCATACTCATCCGCAACATCTTCGGGCCATATGTACAAATAAAAAAATATTAATAGCGTTCTATGGGCCGATAGCACTTTTCGTTTGGCGGTTGTTGCGTCCAATTCCGTTCAGTGGTTGCCGAGAAACATGAGTCTAATTTTTTTGTTACACACAGAGCCGTTTTCCAATTCAAAAGTCGGTTTACCAAGCGGTATGTATACCCTTCTCTGCAATAATACAACTACTGCACAATTACATTCGTCTGAATGTACTTAGGTTTTTCTTTCCTGACGTCGTCCTTGGTCTTCGGTCGTTCAATTGTAGGGAAATTTATTCCAGCACTACATTGCTTCATTATCATTAATGCACCATTAATTGCCGAAAGCTCCAAATTTTGCACACCTGCCGCTGATATCAGCAATGAACCAAATTTACATCATCAACACCTCCGTACCGACGGCGACCAACCGGCTACTGTCGGTCGATGACGCTCAGAGCAGTTCCAGTAGCGCCTAATTTGATCTTCCGGAAGAAAGTGTGTAAAAATAGGGATAAATTAATTTCATTCCTTTCCATTTCACTCTTCATTAAACACATTTTCATATTTTTAAAATCAAACAAGTCGGTAGATCTACCTGCATCGTCATCGTCACAGCTGAGACTCTCTGTGTGCCTCCAGCAACGTCGATTATCGTTCCGGATCAAATGCTATCGCAATTATATCATTTGACTCAAATTAAAATTAACAACCTGGTTACTGAACGGGTTGTCCACGTCAAGGAAGACTGCGGGTCATTCGACTACAACCTGTGAGAGGCTGCCATTGGTTTTCTGATGCGGATTGGTATGAACATTGAATAAATTGAATGGTCACTTCACTACTTCGATACAATTTAACTCACACTTGATCACGTTACCACAATTCAACGTGGGAAGTGCAGCAAAATTGGAAATGGAGAAACCAGTGTGTGCTTTGCGAAAACCAAAAGACGCCAATTCTGAACCATCATCATCAGCAAGCAAACTTACGCACCAATGCGCACACGATCGTTATCCAACCGAGTGAAGCTAAAGGTGGTAAAAGAAAAACTAATCTTTATGCAAATTCGTTCGTGCCATGCTATTTCAATTTTTCTCTCCCCCCAGAGCGTCTTTCCGCATTATTGACACCAATTTAGCTAGCAAAGATTAGATTATTGGATGAACAGATGACTATATATCCAACGTGAACATGGACCAACCACCTCCACGGGATGAGCTGATAGCGATATTATTATTATAAGTTATTTTCCATGATGGAAACACTAGTCACTAATTGATATATAAGGTTAATGTTCCTAATGTCGACCTAAGGAAAGCATCTTTTGACAATGTTTCACTATCAACCAAAAATATCCATTTGTATTGTCCAGATGACGCATTATTCAAAGAAAAATTTAAGAACAGGAAATTTTTATCAACGGGCTCAATTTTTAGATCCATAGGCCAACATTGGAGACATTTCCCCTATCTAATTAAAAAAAAACGGAAATGCTTGCTCAACTACGTGTGTGCGAAGAAAAAAATCATGTACTAATTAAATACACTACAAACTCGAAAACTCACAAATCCTTGTGGAAACCTTCCTCTGGGAGCTGTTTCTGTATATTGATGCGGAACATGTAGATGCAGATCCCGGTGAAGGCACAACTCCACCCATCGGTGATGAACAGCTTGTGTTGCTTGTGGTGTGCCCCACCGGATGCTCCTTGAGGTGTTTTCGAAGAGCTCGAAGCACCAGCCCTGGACGGACCCGGCTTACTGATGTCCCGTTCGGCTGGTTGATCCACTTCGTCCACCTCCTGGTAGAACCACATCAGCTTGTTGCGCATGTTCGGCAGAAAGAGCTGATTGATCTCGTCCAACTGCAAAAAAAAAACAATGACAATAGGTAATATAGAATAAAAACAAATAAGTACTGATTACAAACCACAACGAGTGTTTAGAAAGGAAAGGTCTAATTTTTTTTTGAAACGATGTTTCTCCACGAAGGAGGAGAAAGGAACCACACAAGTAACCGACAAGCCCGCTAATCGCCTTTTTGCAATATAATGCTGATGTACGACTGATATAAAGTTCAAATACCCTTATATCGCAAAAAGGGCGATTATCGGATAGTTAGCGGGCATTAGACTGATGCAAAATTTGAAATTTTCGCTCCACAGTGCTTAAACGGTTCCAAATTGGGTCCTGCTAGCCTCCCAAATTTTGAACTACTTTAGTAAGAAACTGACTTGGCACAAACCATTTCAAGTTTATATGGGAATTACGATGAGAAAACATATGTTTTTGTTCATATCTATCTAACAATTCACCACATCACTATGCTTCTAAAAATGATAACAGTGATTGTTGCAAATTTCCTCAGCTACAACTTTGTTGAAAACTTTTCAATCAAATGTAAGAAACAAAAGCTATTAATGATTCAAGTTACTGATGTCTTATGATTATGCTCATTCAACTGTTCAGCAGGCAACATTGGTGTTTCTGGGGCAAAGATTAGAGCACAAATATCATGACTACTATGTCACACTGCAGAATACAGTGTTGCCCACAGAACAGCTGCTTGATCATGCCATAAGATTATCAATCTCTTAAACAATTAATAACAATTTAATTCGACATTTGGCTGAAAAACAACATTCCACAAAGTTGTAGCTTAAAAAATTTCTTTTTTTTTCTTTTTATTCTTTTTTCTTTTTATTTAAAAAAAAAGATATAGAAATTTTCGAAGCAATATGGACAATGGGTAGAAGACAATGAACAAAAAGTTTGGTTTTCCCATAGTAATTTCCATATAAACATCGAATAGTTTGTGCCAAGTCAGTTTCTTACCAAATGAGGTTAAAATTTGGGAGGATAATCAGGACCTGATTTGAAACCGTCTGAGCACTGTGGAGTGAAAATTTCAAATTTTGCATCAGTCTAGCGGGCATGGTCAAATATATTCCACGGGGTTTGTCGACAGTCCCTTTGTACATGGTTATTTTTTTACTGTACGCTGCACCCAAAATTGCCCAAATGTTTCAATAGAATCAAACTAGTGAAATCGAAAGTTACGCTTCGGAGCGTTACTTTTAACTCTTAATGTTTTTTTAACCATTCACATCGTATTTGCTACTCCGTTACTGATCTGATCCCGTGAAAGAGAATCAATTAGATTCCCTCCGGGTATTCTTCTTCTACTTCTTATGCTTTATTACTTTTCTACTGAATCTTTACGTCAGCCTTTAACTTAGTGCTTTATAGCACTTCCACAGTTGTGAATTGATGACTTTCTAAGCCTATACCATTTTTACTATATTCCCCGGGAAAACAAGAAATTTTCCAAATTGCAAAAAATCTTATGCATGACCGAGAATTGAACCCAGTCGCCTCCAGCATGGTCTTGCAGTATAGCTGTGCTTTTACCAATTGTACTAAGGATGGCTCCCTTATGTTTCTCCTGATTCGCTTTGGTTTCCCCCGGAAGATTTTTCCGACATGTTGTGGAAGTTTCTTCCAACGTCCCTTTGAAGATTTTGATCGGCTTCTAGCGAAGGATTCTTTTAACTTTCTCACGAAAGTTTCGTCCGACTTTGCACAGAAGTTTCTTCCAACTTGCCCTGGATGAATCATACATCTTTCCCCGAAAGTTTCTTCGAACTCTCTCTCTCTGGAAATTTCTTCTATCGTTTAACGGAAGTTGCTTAAAATTTAAGTTCCAACATTTTTGTTCCAAACTTTCCTCAGAGGTCCAACTGGCTTCCTCTAGAAGCGGACATTATTTCACATTTCACCCGGAAGTTCCATCAGACTTCCCACGGAAGACTCTTCTGAATTCTTCAGAAAGTTTCTTCCGAGTTCCCCAGAAGTCCCTGCGACTGCCTTTGCTTCTGTCTCCGAAGTCATCCCACAAATTCCATTCAACTTTTACTGGAAGTCTCTTCTAACTTCACCCGGGAATTTCTCAAACCATGCCCTGGAAGCGTTTATCGGTTTTGCTTTGAAATTTCCTCATCCGGCAGCTTTTCTAACATAGCACTGGAAGATTCTTCCATATTTCCCCGGAAATTTCTTTTTACAAAAGTTTTCCAACTTTCTCCGGAAGTTTCTTTCAGCGTCCCCCTTTGGTAGTGTATATCTATTTATCTGGATTTTTACTTATTTCCCTCCGAATTTTCTTTCAATCTTCCCAAAAATTCATCTGGCTTCCACTGGAAGTGTCTTCCAATTTCCACGGGATGTTTATTCAGAATTCCCCTGGAAATAGTTTTCGACTATTCCCGGCAGTTTCTTCCAAAGGCCTCCGGTAGATTCTGTCAGCTACCTTCAGGAGTGTTTCCTGGTTCCTCTGGATAGGTTCTTCCAATTTCCCCAAGTAAATCAAAGAAGGAAATTTTCTGGGTTGTGTGATCATTATTAGTAAACATTTATGTACAGCATGGTATCATAGCATAGCATAACATAGCATAGCATAGCATAAGCGATTGCACAAATTGTGGGGGCTATATAATGGTCAACCAATAAATTTTGTAGAAAATATCGTATGTTGTCGTGAAAAAAAATACTTGGGACTAGTGGTTTTTCCCACACATTTTTTTTTTTGTTTATTAATTTATTTGATAAGGCTCAACCGAATTAACTTTACAGAGCCGAGGATTCTTGGTCACTATACAATACATCTTAAAACTATAGTCAAAAGGTACAACACAATAAACACTTTATCTTCCGCTATCCAAAAAGCCTCCTCCATCAGAACTGGAGCCGCTTCCAGTAGTTTCATTGTATGGCAAATTGTTGTATGCCAACGAGGGTCAGAGCGCGTCCATTGCAGCAATGGACACAAAACGTGGTCAGCACTCACACACTCATCACGAAACGGTTGCTTTCCAAAGTCGACGACGCATCGACCGAAAGAACTGCTGATGAAGAACAATGAGGAGGACCACACAATGGTTGCTGTCGAGAAAACAGACGATCGCGTAACACACATCGAGAGTGGTCTGCTTTTGTCGACAGCCGAGTGAACACTGTTTTCCACACATTAAAAACTACAAATCAAGCATCGCATTATACACCTGGCCACATCCTTACAATCGCAAGGGATAGGAAGGAAAATTAGTTCAACATCTACTTAAGAAGGTGCAGGGAACCCATACTACCTTCATAGATGCCACGGGAGGGAACATTTGTGTTAGTAGAAAATGGAATATATTTAGGAATCTCTATTCGGCAATATAAAGTAAAGGTTATGTGAAAATGTAAACAAATTTCAATTAATACAAAAAGAAAGATCTCACCAAAATTATCTGCTATAAGCCTGTCTTTCCATGTTTTCGAAGCTGTTTCATGCATCATCCTTGCTAGTACTCTCCAGCACGCGTTTTCTTTTCACACCAAAGCTTTGAGACCATTCAACACTCTTTCGCCTGCGTTACTGTATTGGAAGCAAACCAAAGGATACACAGTAGAATGCGCAGACCTTTCAGTGCTTGTAGTACATCTGATCACCAACACCATCATAGAACTATTAGAAAAACCAACACCTCCGACGCAGGCATCGATCGCTTAACTATGCCACACATTTATGGTCCGGGAGTACACACGAAGAAAATAAAACAACACACTTAGAAATACCTAATTTTACACGTGACGGAATCCATCTTTGACATAAAGGATGAGACGTAAACAAACATGTTATGTAAAATTAAGTGCTCCGAGACTGAAAAGTTCGTTACTCGACGAAAAGTACGTTTGATTGAGCTGAACTTCGCGTCTATTATGACTCAATTTTGTGTCATAATTAACGCTCATGTATGTCAGTCTCAGAGCACCTAAATTTACATGAATTTTTCTAATGTCGTTTTCGTTTTTGCGGTGTAGCTACACCGGTGCTACACTGCCGTACACCGAAATATTTTAGGGTGTAGATATAGAATGCACCTTTGTTTACAAACAAATGATGTTGAGCTGTCAAAGACTCGCGCTTATTCCTGCTTACACTACACCAGTGCTACACCGCAAAAACGAAAACGACATAAGTGTGAAGTTTGCAGATAGCGACATCTCTTCCGATTCTAGCAAACACTATGAATCACGTTTCCTTCTCGATTCGAAAACTTCCCAGAAAGCGAGAAAACCACCACGATCGCACACGCATAACCGCCCGGGAGGCAGAGTGCCAGCGCTAATCAGCCAAATGCAACCAAAAACAATCAAAGCGAAGGCACGCACAAAACAGAGAGCAAACTTAAAACAGAACCGTATCCGACGGGTTTCGAAACTCCACTATATCGAAAGCCAGATCTACAGAAAATGGAAGAGAAATTCAATGAAGTATGTCATTTGATTCCGGAAAATGGTGCTTCCGGGAACAAGTTTTCCGGGTAATGTCGTAGAATCATTTGAGTGACATTTACTCATTCTATGAATGATCTACTTTTTTTGCGAATTTGAGTGAAGGGGACTTAAATATGAGTCAGATTCATTTGCCATGTGTACAGGATACTCCACAGTCTCTGTAAAACACTCCAAAACAAAATCATGCAATTCATCCTTAGATTCTCTTCGGATTTTAAGGTTTTTTTCTAAGAATTCACTACAGCTTCTATACAATTTGTTAAATTAGCTTTAATTCTTCTTAGAAGTTCCATGCAATTCACCTCTACATTCATCTTAAAATTCACTTGGAATTCTCCTTAAATTCATCTATAAACTCTTTTCAAGATGCTTTTTAAATTTTCCTCGCAATTCCCTTAAAACTCTGTAAAGAGTTCCTTTGGAATTTTACCCTCAACCAGTGCTGATAAAAATCCTTTCTTCTACACTCAAATTAGCTGAAAATGAAGAAAACCTTAACAGATAGACCAACTACCTGCATGAATTTGAATTTTGATATAAACAAATTCCCTTGATCTAGGCAACCTCTGAGTATCAAAAATAACATTTGTTTTTCTTCATTCGTGGCTGGATTCTCATTATCGCCTCTGTTGTTGTTAATATTGATATTCGTCTTCATCTTGGTCGGGATGATATTGAGGATCAAATGCAAAATGATTATTTTCATTTTAAACAAATATAGCGCTGAAGAACGTGGTTTTTAGACATAAATCGACGGAAAGTTATTGCCTCAAGCTGAACTGATGATAATATCGATGATTTAGGCAATGTGGTCGACAATATTCAAAATAATCATTTTGCCCAAAATGTCGTTGATTATTTTGCTTTTGAGGATCACTTCTGATTTTGACAATTTTGGGCTTGATAATCGAGCACTGGTGAATATCAACAAACGCGTATTCGTTGATGTATAATAAACTCATTTGTTCTTTTCGCTCGTTTCGTAACTACGAAGATGTTCAAAACAAACGCAATTCATCGACACTGGGTTGAAGCGATACTCCTTGCATGTGATGGTAAATGATAAAAACAGACACTGCCCTCAACATTAGATACCCTTAGTATTTTTCACGGAACTTTAAAATTTCACAATCGTCAAGGAATTTTCCACAGAGCTTCTTAAAACTGTTAACAACAATCAATACGAAACTAACGATTTTAAATTGGCTCACTACTTGACTAGCCTATTGGTCCCAAGCAAATCGATTAACGTACCCCATTCTAGTATAAATTCCAGTACTACACTATGTTTGTTTTGTTTCACTATGAAAGTTTGACAGATAAAATGAGGGGTTCGTGGATTTTCCTATGTTTCGAGGGGTGCATCGATTAGCTTGGGACCGAAGATAGTTCCATAGCTGAGCCAAAAAGTTGAGCTCGTTTCTTCAGGACCTTCTGGTCTTAGAGTTACCTCTATGCTGTTACCCCGAACATTCACAATTGACTTGAAATTCTATTCAGAACTGGAAAGGAAATTTTCTCATATATACTTTGGTGTAATCCCTATTTTTTTATTCCATTCCCTAGAATTCATTCTTAACCCTTCGTCAGTGCAAAAAAAAACTTACGTTGTCTGTTCCTTGGGGTCAATTTAACCCCAAATGAAAATGTTGCATCGTTCGGCAGAGATTTTCAGAAATAGAAGGTTTTCAAAAATATGGAAAATTTATCAAAATTTACTCATTAGATGGCGCTAAGACGAAAATTATCAAGTTGCACAGTGGTTGAAAAGTCAATTTTGACGCTCTTAATTAACAACACCATGGAGAGTGGATTTAGAGTAATGACGTCTTCTGTAATGGCTCAGCTCTGGTACTGTCTTCGGTCCCAAGCAAATCAATGCACCCCTCGAAACATAGGAAAACCCACGAACCCCTCATTTTATCTATCAAACTTTCATAGTGAAACAAAACAAACATAGTGTAGTACTGGAATTTATACTAGAATGGGGTACGTTAACCGATTTGCTTGGGACCAATAGGCTAGACAAGTAGTGAGCCAATTTAAAATCGATAGTTTCGTATTGATTGTTGGTAATACCCCGTTCCCATTACAGCGTCTATCACGTGATATACGCTGTCTTGCAATGAGCACTCATACATCTAGTTTTCACTGTAAATCCTATACATGAGTGCTCATTGCAAGACAGCCCACATGACGCGACATAGGCTGTAATGTGAACGGGGTATGAAGTGTTCACATTACGGTGACTTTGATATAGTTTGTCATTTATGATAGTGAGAAAAAAGAACAACTTTGTTATTGTTTGCATGTCTGTATATGAGTTTTCTGTGGAAACCTATCCTGACGGCGGTATCGTACGAAGCCAGTACCGAGGATATCCGGATACTTTTGACCAATGAGTGTCGGAATATTTACTGCAGTCTGACCAGTTTCATATCATACAAATGGAAAGCTGTTCAACGCTGCATTTTCACTATCAAAACGATGGCTTCCTAGATCAGGACATTGCGTCGATTTTGCAGACTACAAAGCCAGAGCAAGGCCCACATGGACATTCTTTATATGCGGATCTTTTTAGTATCATCGAACGTCTGAGGCGGAAACAACATGCCCAGCGCTCAGCACAATTGATTACAGTTGGATCACGCTCGCGAGAAATTTCTTATTAACCGACTTTCACCTTGATGTTGATGACTTCCCATCCGTTTTGATGCCGGGTCGTTTTGGTTGGGTACCGGAGAAAATATTTGATGTGCTACATTTTTTTTTTGTTCGACGGGCACACTCCAAAGGCGATCGCCACCGTAAAACCTTCCATTAGTTGGCGACAGTTGAATGGTATTGATTGCGGAAGAGCTTCGTCTCGGGTAGGTGGGTCAGGATATTTGCAATGGTTGTTTTGAACCGCCAGTTCGATTTTTTTTAAAGTTTTGATTGACTCGACGGAAAAGTGACACTTAAAGCCAAAAAATAGCGACCAGCTGTATCGTGGCCTGGTTGCCAGTCACTGCTTTTCAGGATTTTATCAAATACACAACATGATATAAGCTATATCAAGCATTTATGTTCAGCATGGTATCAGTACAAAAAAGCTGTCTCCCGGGAATCGAGAAATGTGAATATTAGTTAATTTCCCGGTTTCACTATTTTTAAGCGTCTTGAAATTTTTACTGTAATCCCGAAACTCTGAAAAAAAATCCCGAATCTTAAGATTTTTCTAAGCCCAGGAAACAGGACTATGGAAATTTGAAATTAGGATTTTTTTCAATCCTGAGTTTGGAGAAAAAAATCAACTTAAAATTGAGTGGATGTTAATTCAAAATCCCAAAAACGTAGTTCACAAAGTTAAATTCTCCTCGCTGCCTCGAAAATCATCTCGAATATGAAGTAAATCAATGAAAATTTTGTTCAATCTAGGAGTATACTAATAGACTAAATGCAAACTTCTCTGGATTTTCCTCATATAAAAATTTACCTAGTCAATGAGTGACCTACGTTTATGCGAATTTGAGTGAACGAATCTCAAATTTAAGTAGGTTTAATCAGCCGTAGTGACAAAAAAAATACATGTCCACATTCTGGAGCTATGTAATATTTTTGAGATTGTGGGGCCTTGGAAAATTTTACACGTTAATACATCATGTTCGCTTACAAAACGAATGAGAACGACCCAAATTTGATTTTAATTCACTCATAATCGCCAAAAGTGCAGGAACTCAATAATTAGTAAATTTATCTCATGTTTTCTTGTGGAAATCCTCAAAATCTGCCGGAAAATAAGGAAAATTTACTCAGTCTAGGAGTAGTACCAATAGACTGAGTGAATCCAATCTTTACTTTTCTCATATTCGGGAATGTTCTTCCTGTACAAACCTGGAAAAACCTGAAAAATATTAGGCAAATTTACTCATCACTGAGTTCCTGCACTTTATGTGATTTATGAGTCAACTAAACTCAAATTTGGGTCGTTCTCATTTGCCGTGTAGTTGGAAATGAACTTATCCAGGGAGAAGGTTACACACTTAGTTTTATTTGATGAATCTCGGTTATTCCAGCACCACCGAGAAGATCAATGATAATATTTTCTGGTATCTCAGCAAATGTGACGTTTGATTGCTGAGTCCCGGAAAATGTTTAGCTGAATCTCAGCAAGCAAACGTCATGTTCTGCTGATATCTCAGTAAAGTGATTGCCGAGCTGCTCGGCGGCACCGGAATTACCGAGATAGGGCAAACGTGTGTAGAACGGCGAGTTGATTTCGTGTTGTTCTGAATTTTGAAATTTAGTTTGAGTTCGTGATTTACACTTGCTCTTTTAGGGTAAATTACGAATTTGGTGAATCAAGTTTAAGCGCATCGTTTGTTCAAAATTGAGCACTCAATGACTTTATGTATCTCCTGTCAATAATAGGTAAACATATTGCCAAAGCCGCCATTTACCCTAATCATATTGGAATGTGTTGGCCTCGGGTCAAGAAGCATGTAAGTAGTTGTTTGATCCACCAAAAGACCGGAAAGTGCCCAAGCATTGAAAGTTTTATTGAGGCGTTAAAGCATTCTACAAGTCTAAATCACGGTCTTCAAAACCCTCATAAAACCAAAATTGTTACTTGGGTCAATTTCAACCTTTATTTAAATGTCCATACAGCCATAATCTATCCGTGGGCTATCAATTCTGTCTTTTTCATAAGTTTTTCTACCTAATAAATTTTGCCCAATGTTTCATGATAATATAAAATAATTCCTTGAACTTTGAAATCGTCAACTTCACGCATGAAGTAACGAAAATCTGAAAAGAAACTTAATTTTATTTTCTAACCTAGTTAGTGAATTTTAGATTAATGAATCTTGACCATCAAGAATGGCTTTATACCATTGCAACAATAACCCTCCCTAGCAGCATACTTTTTATAATTCGGTGGAGGTAGCTTCTATGTTACTTATTTTAGTCATAATCAAGAAGCTGCAACTTTTTGCGACTGATGTGTGTTATTTGGGCTCATACTCACCATATTTCCCTCGAAGATGTGGTCCATGATCTGATGCCGAGGCAATCCGGTGGCGTCCATCAGCAGCTGGAAGGTGAACTCCAGCCGGGGATCCATCTCCCCTCGACGGGCCTTCCGCTCGCATTCTTCCCGTCGGCGCTGCGTTTCAGGTGATTCGGTCATGGTGCGTTGCAGTGTAGGATTCACCCAAAAAGGACGCGATAACGACAATAATAACCACCAACAACAAAAACACGACGAGTTTTACGTTCCGTGCGTAGGTATTTCAAGATTCAAAAATTGGGCAGTCGAAGAGTTTTCAACGTACGCACAAATTGATATGCAAAAAAGAAAAAGAGTTCAAAAATAGTTTAACGTCCTTCCACAGACTCACACGTTGACTGTTTCAGAGGTATCTCTGGTGTGATGTTTGCAGAGTGTTATTTATAAGTGTTTTTGTTTTTGCCTTTGCTTATGTATGATACACTGTTTTTTGCACTTTTTACGATTTCTCAAATAGACTACATCAGCAGCTATTCACATGCGGTCATTTGGAATGATTTTCAACCGTGGTAGTAAACTGTATTTAGCTGAAATAAATGAGTTCCTGGACTGTTAAAATGCAAATCAAAACAGAATCATTCAAAAAATCGATACTATTTATGCACGCAAAAAAAAACCACATGCAAAACTAGTTTCAATTAATAACTCGTGAGTTCACTTTTAAGCCCTATCGGAATATGACTCACTGTTTATACACTCTGAAAAGGAGAACCGTGCAGAGAGAAGTCAAGAATCAGATCTAGTGCTAATGGAAGTAAAATATAATATGTTCAAGGGAAAAAATCAAAATGAAATATCAACATTTCTTTTAAAAATTCGAAATTTTGGATCAAGTCCATTCACACAAAATGCATTAGAATCTTACACATTTATGTATGAGTTAATTATTTAATCGATAGAGCGATGACTTAGCCTTCACTATCGCAATTAATACCCATACCAATCTCAAATAAAGATCCGTTACAGTTAAAGCAGAGTGGACGTGACAAGGGATGCGTAAAATTCAAATGAATCCAATTTTCGCTATTATTATATGCACTAAACATGTTACATCGCGGTTCTTGTCATGTTCACTCTGGCCGCAGCCTGAAATTTAATACAAAAACATACACATTGTAAAAGTGCCGTGCAAAGTTTACTGAAAAATACCGAGAATATTGAAATCCCGATTATGCAAAATATGAAAAACGAGATATTATCCAACAGCACAACGATCACGATCGGGATATCAATGTTTAAAAAAGCAAAAATCGCTCCAACAAAGTATTGATTTATCAAAATTCAAAGGTTAAAAATAGCTCTAACAAAGACAAAGACAAACTACCATGCACACCACTAACTAACTCGAAGGACAATTTATTGCGCCGCAAAACAGCTTGCTACTGAGACATGCTTCAAATAGAGTGGGTCGCATCGTAAAGCTATCAGTGCATGCACAATTTTTACTGTACCGGATGACACCCGGTTTCACTGTAAGGATTTGAATTTAAAAACGCAAATAACCAGATTGCTGGGTTAAATAAATGGAAACGTGATTCAATTGAAAAAGGAATTGGAAAACAATGTTACGTAACCACGCTATTACATTACCTTTGGAGGATTATTTAGCAAACATAGAGGTTGCAGCCCCAGTTGCTAAACCAAATCTTCCATCGCATTGCGAAATTACCTGCAGCAGATCTTCTTCAGATATTTCCTCTTCCGGTTCGTCCTCTTCTTCGGTTTCATGAGTGCCTCCTCCTGGGGCTTGCTCATGTTCGTCCTCGTCCAGATCGTTATCGTTATCATTATCGTTATCGCCATCGTCGTTATCCAGATTTTCTGCTCCAGACTCACCTCCCGCCTCATCTATTGCGATCTCCGGAGTTCCCGGGGCTGCTTCAGAATCATTCTGAACTGACAACTCATCTTCGGCTGGCTGATCCTCGCCCGGATCCTCAGCCGGCTCTTCCTGATCTGGGGAAGGTTTACAGTCAGTCGGAAACAAAACCGATAAAAAACTACCACACTAGGCAGCAGTTGTAGCTTACTAGACTCAATTTTTAGGTTTCAATTACTTCACGCGAAGAGCACTTCTTAAAGTCAACCGTTCTCAACGACGAGTGAAAGAAAAGTGAAAAATCGATCTCAGAATCAACAAAGCTGGAGATATCCATGGTGTTTCACCAAATAAAATGACACAAACACAAGAAGTTGCACAACGCCATGCGTTCATACCTAAATTAGTGATTTTTTTAAACAATTTATTATATTGTGCTTCCAACAGAAGCGTTTGACATGGAAATAAACAAATTTGACCGAAACTGATCCACTCCGTTTGACGATTGTTCATTGAGCATGATCAGCATGCTATTTCCATAGTAACATATCAATAAATGTGACATTAGAATCAACATTCTTCTTAGAAACAACTCGTTACTAAGTGATCACAGAAATTCGAAACATACAACGCTGAATCGAAACTATTGATAAAACAAATGTGACAACTAAATCAACAAAGTAAATCGAAGATTTGCAATGCGCATTCACAAACATACAATGTTGACACATAAATCAACAGCTACATTGTCTACAAATACTCCAAGCATTAAAAGATAGACGAATTCCGCGCATAATTCAACGTACGCATGATCCTGGAGATGAATTTGACTGATCAACAAACAGTAACCTATATATACTGACCGTTGATAGATGATCACACGATCAACGCGTGCCTTGCGCTGAATCATAACTATAAACCATGGCAATAATCTCAACAGGCTGTTGCTTGTCAGCTGATCATCCTTGTGATTGGTTACCATGTCCACCAGCCCAAGGTCATTGTTTGTTATCAAACCTGTTGAATAGAAACAAATATCCACAGATGACAACAAGTCGTAAATATCCACAGGTTAGGGGAAACAACCAAAAAGCCGGTAAATATCCACAAGTTGCGAGGGGAAGGCGAGGAAAACTATTTCCCCTTTACCCTTGAAAATACAACGGAAAACTCATTAGCAACTGGTGATGAAACCACGTGTAGATATTTGTTATGATTCTGTGACGGCTTCTGTGGGTAGATGAGAAAACGTGACCCTGACCTACAGCAGTGCCGTACAGAAAGAGCTTCCTGTTTGTGGCATTGGAATCGCGTTTTGCCAAGTCAGGCACTACCTACATAGCTGGGTCATAAAGTTCGTCTACGTCTATTGAAAACAAGTACATGAACAAAACCCAGAGTGGTATGTGACCAGACGGTTTAATCAATAATTCGATTATTATGCCTTCAAATGCAGACCGGCCGGAATAACCTTTCTCGCTATGTAGGTTCAGAGTTGCTTATTGCAGCGTAGTTTAGACTTTTGCATTCGAGCTAGATGCACGTTTCCAAAGAGAAAAATTTAGAAACCGTTACATATGTTACGTGCTGCAAGCTTCACTGACTAGTATGGAGGGAAAAGCATTTTAAAACATTATAGAAGATTCCGGACTTTTGAATATTTTGAATGAACGTAGACTTGGATTATTTTTTTAGAGCTTGACACTTCAAAGAATTTTCTTGAGAATTTTGACGAGGACTCCAATGGAATTCCAACGGGAATTCCTAGCAGAACTTCTACTACTGCATTATTTGGAGAATTTCAAGATTGCAGAACTAGGGTGGGTGAGCCCTAGGGTGAGCCAGTAGTGGACAAACTAAGACAGTTTATTTAAAACTAAAACTAAATAAATGATTTGCATACAATTATTATACGTCAATCTCTATAGCTTTCAACTTCTATTTGATGGAAAAAATATTTACATTATGATTAAATAGTATACATTTTGCGAAAACACGTCTTCCATTAATAGTACACACTTAGAAATACCTAATTTTACACGTGACGGAATGCATCTTTCACATAAAGAATGAGACGTAAACAAACATGTCATGTAATAATAAGTGCTCTGAGACTGAAAAGTTCGTTAGTACGTTCGATTGAGCTGAATTTCGCGTTTGTTATGACTCACTGTTATGTAAAAATTGACGCTCGTATATGTCAGTCTCAGAGCACCCAAATTTACATGATTTTTTTTTTCTAAGTGTGTAGTTTCTAATGGATACTACTATTGAGCAATTCCCTACAAATTCACAAATCGGTTTATTTTTTGTATTTTTTGATTTGGTTGAAAATTTGCGGAAACGTCCCTTATGACCAACAATGCCATTTTGCATCTTAATGTCGCCAGCCTTATTTTTTGTAAACGGCATATAGAAAAATATCAAGCTTATCTTCAGCAAATTAGTAAACGGTTTGTCCAACTGGTTTGGTGTCTTGGGAAATATTGCAGGTAATAGATGAGACTATTGGAAAAAAAATGCACTCTAGAAAATTAACTAACTTTTTTTAAATTTCTAATGAAGTGTTAAAAACAATTTTTCTCAAAAAAGGATTTTTTTTGTATTTTTTATTTGTTGATATGTTTTAGGGGACAAAAATGCCATCTATTGCACTATAGGTCAAGATGAAAAAATGATGGAAAAAAGTTCGGATTTTTAAAAAATACTCAAGTTTTTGAAAAAATATCCAAAACATGGTTTAATTACTTTTTCGACTTTATGTAATGAAAGTACACCAAATTTACAATAAAAGAAAATTGTTGATATAACTAAGAATCAAAGTATGGATTTGTTTTACAACTATATCAATCTAACAATGTAAAAATAAATTAAATCATTCTCGAAAATTCGCATTTTTTTTTAAATGGTCTCATCTGCAATATTGCCGAAGACACCAAACCGATCGGACAAACAATTTTCGAGTACAAATTTTCTGAAGATAAGCTTCCATTGGGAACGCACATGATATTTTTCCAATAACAAAATTAATTATTTTGATCTGAAATACACATAATATTCATATGATCACATGAATTCTATGTTATAAATCACATAAACTTCATTGGACACATAAGGTTCATGTGATTTGCTGGTGCGAATCCCAATTATGAGATCACATGAAAGGTATGTGAAATTCTAATGGATATTTTCCATTGGAAATGTGATTTATTTTTTGAGTGTAGGGAATTGCCAAGGGGCAAGACAGCTGTACTCCAAGCTGTACTCAGAGTAAACATATTTGCTGCGAGTAAATTTGAGTTGCTCATAATTACTCAAAAATGAACAGAGTAGTCTCGTATTTTTCATCATAAGAAGTTCAGGAAACAACCTCCGTCTGACAGGATGTTTTGTTTAAATATTTTCAATTAGGAGAAAATTTTGCATTTGGCGTCAGATTATCAACTTTAATATAGCATGATGTCCATGAAACTGCAACATTAGGTTTTCATGTATTGAAAGATCCAAGTTACATTGCTTTTGTCCATGCCAGAGGCCTCTTTTGCTTTCTAGGGATTGATGATCTTCGAAGTTTTTCGTGATGTGGTGGTGTGATTTCAAGAAGTTGGAATTTGACCTAATATTATGAGAAGATTATTTAAGCTCATGAAAATTAATACTCAACCTCTCTAAATCGATGTAAGAGGCTTCTTGTTCTGTTCAATTAGTTTCTGGCATGAGAAACTCAACATTACTAATTATTTATAATTGAGGTGTAGAGTGAACAGCAAAATTAAATTTACAAGCTTCCATAATGGAAGCTCGATATAAATCTCCGAGAATATGTTGCTAGAAAAAGTCAGAGTAATGGTCAACTGTCATTAGAAACTTAGAAAAATACAGTTGAAAATTATGATCAGAAACGGGTTAAATTTTCATCGCCTGGTGTTGTTGTGATGATCCACATTTAGCACAAATGGAACATTGACGAATGCGGTCTTTTATGTAGCTGTTCATCCCAGGTCACAATAGATTAGTTTTGGCCAAGTTCATAGTTGATTCTATTCCGATACTTACATGAGCGATCGTCGAAGGGACAGACAAACAGACGTAACTCTTTGAAAAAGTTTTTCTTGAAAACATAGTATCTCAAAACATAGAACCTCAGTAACGATATCTCTCGGGATTCTCGCGGAAAACAAGCTTGCTCACTAACTCACAAACAATATTGCATAAAACTTCTATAGAATGTATAGAAACGTCAAAGTGATCCGATACCAGCGCTGCGGCGAGTAGTTCACGGAACTGATAATATTCGAATCATCCGTTAAATGCGTGAACGAAGATACACAATGAAGAGTTACGTCTGATTGTCTATGATCTATTTTTTGTCATGCTACTTAGAATTGTTCAGAATCCTCCATTTGGGATGACTGTAGTCCTCCCTGAGATTGTCTGGAATCTCCCTGGAATTGTACGGAATCCTTCCTGCGATTGTTTGGGATCCTCTCTGGACTGTCGTGAATGCCCCTAAATTTTTACTTAAATCGCCCTTTTGATTGTCCAGAATCCCTGTTGGATTTGCCCGAAGTCCCCTCTGATATTGTCCGGAAGACGTACTGAGAGTGTATGAAACCTTTTCTGATAATTGTCTGGAATCACCCCTAGGCTAGTTTGAAGTCCCTCGGGAAACTGTCATAAATCCCCTTTTTGATTGACTGGAAGCCTTCCAGAGATTGTCCGAAGTCTTCTAGGGATTGTGTCTAGGGATTGTCCATCTGGGACTGTCCTGAATTATTCTTGTGATTGTCCATCAGAATCCGTATTATGTGGTTGTTAATGTTTCGCAGCGTGCTATACAAAAGTGCAATTTCCCTTCCATTGCCGAAATATCTTCTCGGTTAAGCTTTGGTTTGAAAGGGCACCGCTTAAAATGTTGAAATACGTATTACAAATTTACAAATGCAACTACGCCCCTTTGAAATAATGCCACTGAATTATCTTTACTTGACAGCATCGGTTTCAACACAACAACCAAGTTGCTATGTGTAAATGTTGTTGAGCGATGCGAGTTACTCAGAGTTACTCAAAATTAACTCCGATTATACTCATGAGCGAAAGCTGTCTTACCCCAAGGGAAATGCTCTATTATAGTAACTTTACACACTTACAAAAATTCATGTAAATTTAGGTGCTCTGAGACTGACATATACGAGCGTCAATTTTGACAAAAAATTGAGTCATAATAGACGTGAAATTCAGCTCAATCAAACGTACTTTTCGTCGAGTAACTAACTTTTCAGTCTCGGAGCACTCAATTTTACATGGCATGTTTGTTTATGTCTCATCCTTTATGTCAAAGATAGATTCCGTCACGTATAAAATAAGGAATTTCTAAGTGTGTAGTTAGTACTAAGTGTGTTGGCTAATTTAAAGCTTCAAACATGCAAATCTACTACAATTTAGGTGAGTTACCGATCAAACATAAATGTATCTGGTTTTCCACCATTATGCCGGCATAAACCAAATTCCACAACACAGTGGCGCAGCATGAGCAGCATGAGCATGATTGACCACCCACGGTTGCTACTCTGTTATTGCCAGACCAGCTGTAATTACACAGATAACCAATAGACGATGCTTGGGACTATGTAGGGGTTTTGTAAAAATGACACGATTAACCCGTAAAAATTAAAAATGGTTTAACATTATTCCGGTGAGTGGTTCTTACATATGTTGAGTGATACTACCTCCCCACAGGCACCTCTCTCTTTCTTATATATTCAAGAATGTGTTGACACGAGAGCGTTTTTTTTTTCAATATTTATCAT